TCAATTCCATTGCGCGCGCAATCATCACACCCACCTCCTTGCAATTCGGTTTGCGAAACCCATGCGGCCGCGTTTGCGATGACTACTTGGCGCTGGCGCCTCGCTGTAGCCGCACAAGCGCGCATGTTCGCGCACAGAGCGGCCAGCCAGTCTGGCGCGACCGGCAACCGACGCGGCCGCGGTGGCGCTGACCGTTGGGAACTTCCCAGCGCGTCTCGCATGCCGCATTGACGCGCGGGCACTTCACTGCGAGTCTGTAGTTCGGGCGGGCGCGGTATCATGGCGAAGTCGACAACGGCAGACAGGATGATGATGATAGTACTGATGCGGATGACGAAGATGACGACCACGACGGTAAGGCCAATTACGGCGCCGATGCTGATCACGCCGGTGGCGATGATGGGGTCCACGTGGCGGTGATGGAGGTACCGTAAGGATTTTTACATGCGCGCGGCCAACTCGCGAGAGTGGCCCGCATGATGTGATTTGACAGGGCTCGCCCCCCCCCCCCCACCCCCAGTCAGCAACCGCGCAAAGGGTCGAATGATTTCGACATGCGCACGCGAGAGGCCCGCGTGGTTGCCTGTGATGAAAAACTTGAATGTTCGCCAGCGTGGGCCCCAAACTGCTGTGCTTCTAGCAGCATGCGTGCTTCTAGCTGCACACGTTGTACAACCGAGGTTGTGCCGTTCATGTTGTGCAGTCTAAGTGGTGCAATGTATGTGGTGCAAGGTTTGTTGTGATTCTAGGTGGTCCTGTATATATATATATATATATTGTGCAATCCACGTGGTGCAACTTGTGCGGTACAATCCAATTCTGTTCGGAATGAGTTGTGAACTCCACTGCTTGCGCAATCGTCACGCCCACCCACCCGCAACTTGGTTTGCAAATCGCGCGAGGCTGCAATTTTCCGCCGGTCAGTTCCCGATGCGTTTCGCAGGCCGCTCTGACGCGCTGCCAGTCGGTGATCTGGGCGGGCGTGGCATCATGGCGATGCCTGCAAACGCAGACGCGACGATGACTGCAGCGACGCTAGGGACGACGACGACGACGACAATTACGACGGCAGGGCCACTGACGGCGCCGATGCGGATCACACCGATGACGATGGTGATGAAAGGTTGCGAGGGATTTCGACATGGGCGCGCGGCCGACGGGCGCGAGTGGCCCACACGGTATTATTTTCAGGAAGGGGAAAAACACACAGACACATTAATCATCGATTCTCCGGAAGATATGGGAACATATGGTAGGGGGGGGGGGAAGACAGAACCCCAGGAAATATTGGAAAATATAAGGGAATCCTGTTATTTGTGTGTATTTATTTGTGTGTCCCAGGGCCCCTTTTATATTTGAGGGAGATCGCGCCCCCCCCCCTTCAGCACGCGCGCAAAAGGTGTTCCCATGATTTCGAGACTCGCGCGCGGGAGGCCCTCCCGGTCCTCGCTATGAGCGGGGCTGTCCAGGCAGTGTTGGTTGGCCATCACTGGTGTCATTACCAACAGGCCGTCACCACCACGATTTAGGTCCAGCGAGAAAACGACAAAAACACATACCCGACAAGCTCTCTTTTTGAGGTTGGGCGTCCTGGGTTTCTGCGAGTCAAGGAGCGTGCCATCCGGGCTTCGTGGTGCGCCTGCTCGAGAATCGACAGGACGTGTCATCGTTTCGTTTGAACCCTCCGTGTAGGTAGATGTCATGAGTTGTTTTTGTTATCTCTTCCTTTGCACCCGACCCCAGGCTGTTGCAAGACCAGGTGGCGCTCCTGCAGCAGAACCTTCCTTCGGCGGAGGAGGCGAGCCTCCTCTGGTGTGGCACAGTCCTGGAGCATCGTAGACACGATGGATGCTATTCTCATGGTGGTGCAGGGCGCCCACACTGCACGCGGCATTCCAGCCAGGGCCTCGCCTTTGGCGCATCTTCTCCCTTGGCGGAAGCTGGCGGAAGGCTGGCGGAAGGCTGCGAAAGTGTAAAACGGCGGCGGCTCCGCGTGCGGAAGCTGGCGGAAGGCCTAGTTGAAGGCGGCGGAAGGAAGAGCGGGACGTCCACATTTGTTGGTCTCGGGGCTGCCAGGTTTGACATTGTTGAGGCACGCAGTGATGCAAGCGTGATGGCACCAATGCAGCCGATGAGATGGGTGATTTTGCCAGCAAAATTGCTGTCCGGAGTTTGAGTTGTTCTTGTTCGGAGCCTGCATGCACACGCACCAGGCAGCCTCCGCAAGGTTAGTCTGCCGTTTGTCTCCCGAGAGTTGGCCTAGTCTGGCTCGGGGGGGAGAAATGGCTGAACCGCCACATGCTCCAGAACGCTCTGAAACGGCCGTGTCGCCCGATACATCCTCCAGATACGCCATCTTTCAGAGATTCACGATTTCTCTCATCAAATGTTATCATTATTCTTCCTTGGTCCCGGTGACGGGGGGAGAGAGAGAGAGAGAGAGAGAGAGAGAGAGAGAAACAAAGAGAGAGAGAGAGAGAGAGAGATAGGGAGAGAGCGTGGGGGCTCAGGACTGGGAACGTGGCGAACGTCTCCGCCAGACCAGCCCAGCTATGGCCTCCGTTTTGCTCGCAGGGAGGCACCTGCTGCCGAGCTCGCTGACTGGATCCCCCCCAAGCGCGTGTTCTTCTCTTGCCTGCCCTCCGCCACGGCGGCATCGGGCGCTCCGCGCGCCAGCGAGGGGGGTCCAGCGCAGATCCAAGACATCCGCGCGAGGCCCCGAAAGTTTATGCACACTGTTATTTCTTCTGCCAATTTGCTGCTTGCGCTCCTCCGCCACAGCATGCTCCTTGTATCCCCCCTGTGAGAGCGACGCGCACGGGAGCACCGCAGCTTTGTCTCTCCTTAGTGCGCTTTTCTAGTTCACCAGTCTTTGCGCATGCTGCATAAGAACATCATCAGTAACACGCGCACTTATAACACGCCCCTACGACGATCATCTCGAAGCGCATGCCGCTGCTGGAGAGTTTCTCCGAAGGGCTTTGGCGACCCGTCCTCCTCCTCTCTCCTCCTCCTCCTCCTCCCTCCTCCTCCTCCTCCTCCTCCTCCTCCTCCTCCCCCCTCCTCCTCCTCCTCCTCCTCCTCCTCCTCCTCCTCCTCCTCCTCCTCCTCCTCCTCCTCCTCCTCCTCCTCCTCCTCCCCTTCCTCGCCCTCTCCCCCTCGGGTCGCCTACGGCTCCGGGGGAAGCCGTCCAAGCGCTGCCCGAAAGGCGGAATGAGCTCACCTCTCGCCGCGGCGCGGCCGCCTGGCGAGAGCGGCGGTCATCCTGGGCTGTTTTTCCGAGAGGCACCGCCTCTGAGCGACGCAGAGGGCACGCGCGCGCGACTTCGCAGGGTCAGCATCGAAGCACGTGATCGCTGCGACGGGAGGCTCATCATTCCTCTTTCTGCAGGCTGCCTGGAGAGGTGGGCGCGCTGTCGAGGGTCGAGGAACTGTCTTTCCTCTAGTCGATATGTATTTTTCCAGAGCCTCTGCTCCCTCCGCCGCTGGAAGCGGTGCGGAGGCCGTGCCATCTTCCCCCGCCGCCTCCGGCAGTGCGGGGCACCAGAGAGACAGAACGCAAGTGGTCGCGAGGTTCTCGCCCATCCTGTGCGCGCGGGATAAACTAGTCCTTATTTTCCTCTTCCGATTCGTGCGGAGGCCAAGAAGCTGCGGGAGGCGGAGCGGCTGTACACTCTCGACGA